CTATGTTTATCCTTTTGTGTGCTGTAAATTAAATGCTGAATGGTGGTTCATGCAGGGAAAGAACATATTAATATTCGCATATTCATTAAAAAACATGAAAATTCTTAATGGAGTACCCTCATTTCTTATTGAATTCCTAAAAAACAATATTTATAATGAATTTTAATAATTTTTTTGAATTTTTTTTAAACTTTATTCTGACCGATTCACCTGATTCTCGATCTGAATCGCCGATTCGCCGATCCTGATCGGTTTTTTGGGAACCCTATCTGGATCACCGATCTGTTTTTTAAACCATTGGGTCAATCCCCTTCTGCCACGACCCTAGGGCAAAATAGTCACAACCAGTATTACATAAAAGATGAGGGCATTATTGTCCTAAAAAGAGAACCAGGTTTTAGGGGGAAAAACCAAGCATTTAGAAATTCAATTTTTTAATTTCGTGGAAAAAGGCGGTTCAAAACTCAAAAGAAACAAAAGGGAACGTGGACTACCGGTTAAGCTCCTTTCCGTTACTTTAATCGTCAAACTAACGGCAAATCACCTACGCCGTTTTTCCCAAGCCCCGTTTTCTTCGCCGAGAAGATAACGGCGTCATGACGGCGGTCGCTTCCCGCCCTTGCGTGTCTCTTTGCGGACTCCAAATCCTGATTCTAATCTTCTTCTGAAAGGATTTTCAGGTCCGCAGCCAGGTGTGGTAAATGACAGGATTACCTTTAATTCGTTTGGAAATATCGAGGGAGCCATTGCTGTTTTAAAAAATTGGCAATTTTTGTGACCAACCCACCCTTGAAATTTATTAAATTTATGTAATAAGCGTTCACGACCTATTGTATTTCCGGTGACAAATTCTTTCAAATTATTTTAATTTTTTTTGTCAAATTTCAATTTGTGGAGTAACGAATGTATTAAAAAAAAAAAGAGATATTAAAAAAAGCAACAATTTTTATAAGGTATCCACCTTATATCTTAGAAATAAATCACACTAAAAAACTGAAGCGGGAGACCCAACAAGCATCCAGTTGATCATCTCAACGCCAAGGTGTAAGGATTAAAACAAAAAGGATTTCAAGTGTTAGAAACGGTGCATCCTGTAATGTATTATCTTGACTTTGTATTTCAAGATTTTCAAATGTCGTTGAGTTGCTTGATCTACACTAGATCTACTTGATTTTAACTATTTTTGAAATTTAAAATTTTTTAATTAGATATGAAATATTTTTTTAAAATAATCCTAAGAATTTTTTACAACAAAATTACATCTTATAATAAAATTTAGAGGTGTGCCGATATTGGATTCTTTAAAATTGCAACCTTATAAAAACAGCACCCTTGAGAAAAAGACATAATGATTCACGTAAAACCCTCCATTAAAATAACATCCACATAGCATGTGGTTCTAAGGTTGTTTTTCTCATCAACTAATCAAGGGCAGTATGGTCATATCTACAACTAGAGGGCCATTTGAGCATTTAAGCAAAGTAAGGGTGTTTTTGTCATTTTTCTCAAATGACTCGGGGCATTTATGGTCATTTTGGGAAAAGAAATCCACTTTCCTTTGCTACCTGTGGTTTTCCCGCATTTGCTTTTTTTTTAGTTTCGCACAAAACAAAGCGTACAAATTTTTCCTTTTTTCTCTTTTTATTTGATAGAGAAAGATTGTGTTTTCAGTCGCTGAAGTTGCAGAGGTAGGGTTTGCAAAGAAAGATTTCTTCCATTATTTTTTTCTCTCTATTCTTCTATTTGCTATCTTTCTTTTTCTGTCATTTTCCTTGTTTTACTGTATTTTTCTTATTTTCTCATTTTTGTTTTTGTTTTTGTTTTCTTTGTGTTATTTTGATATTGTGTTCTTTTCTCCCTTTTTGGCGATGTTTTTATTTCATGTTATGTGTTTTTAGCTGAAATGCCTGTTGATTGATCCGTATGTAATGTTTTATTGCAATTGATGTTTAGTTACAGTTGATGATAGCTCAAAGATCATGTTTTTCTTGTTGTATCTGTGATTTTGTTTGATTCTATGCATGGAATTTTGTTATGTTGGCTTGGATTATGTTTCTTTTGACATTTTCTTTTTGTGAATGTTGTTTAGTGATATTTTTGTTGGAAATCGATGATCCTCTCTGTATTCATGCCATATTTTCTGAATTTGTTCTTCAGGCTCCAAATGTTGCTTTTGTGTTGTGAAATGTGTGCAAGTTGTTAAATTTATTCACATTGTCCGTTGTATGCGAGCCATCTATGTCGGGGATCAGAACAGGCACATTGTTTTTAGACCCATTTCCATATTATTGTGGACTTTAGTTTGTTTTATGTTTGTTTTAGAAGTTAAGTAACATGACATGCTTAATAATCTTTAGATAATTCGTACTTGTGTATAGGCTAAATGGAATGTTTATATTGAGGACGTTGCACCAGGATAAGTTGCAGCTTTATTTTTTTTAAAATAGTTACTCTATTCATTATCCTCTTCCTTAACCGTTTTAGATTAGTTTTTCATATTTTATATTATGGGTTTTTGAGTAATGGTCGCTTCTTATGTACTGAGATGATTATGGATTTGATTTTTTAGTTGTGTAGTGTTTGGCTGGAATATCTTAGTCGCTTGAGTCATTCAAATCCACTTGGAATTGAGAAAGTGTGGTTTATTTGATCTTTGGGTTGAGATCTTAAATTCTAATACATATTTATCTTCATTATATTATCTTGAGAGGGTATGGCCTATTTGATTTCAGGTAAATACAATAAAATCTATTATGTTTCCACAATAGGGTATGGCCTATTTTGACATTTATTTTTTAGTATTTTCCACATTTTGCATCAGAAGAAAATGAAAGTTGGTTTGGAGTTTCTTGTTTTAAATAACCTTTCTTTTTCCTGATCCCCAATTTTGCTGCAGTTCCTCGTTTTTACCTGTTAATATGTATTGGGTTCACGTTCTTATTTTGGTTTACTGTTTTCTCTGTCTGTCTCCTATTATTTTTGTAATGTTTGTTTCCAAAAGGAAGAGAAAGTTATGTAATGCACTAATGGAAGTTTGTGGGTTCAACTTGCTTTGTTTGATAGGTTCTGTGCTGGTTCTTGTTTCTTGTTTTTCAGCTGTCAATGCTCGTGGGATCTATCATTGTGCATGGCAACATTTGAAGTTGGCCAAAGCAATGTCGGATTCAACTCTCTCGACAATGCAACAAAGGGAGTCCTTTCAAGTGAAAGTGTGAATCCTTTGGCATATAAACTTGTTCGGGTAAGGATGGCCATTTCGTTGGTTTATTATCTGAAATTTTACTTTGACGTTCTTTTGGTAATTCCTTTATATAATGTTGGCTGGACTTTTTATGTATGTCAATTTGGGTATGGACATTATACAGTTATACTAAATGATTATGGCCAGGTGATATTGAGGTAAATTTGATTATTTTTAACTTAGTGGTTTGTTGCTCCTTTCCTTGACCGATAAGTCTTCTGGTCAGGCGCTTCCACACTTTCCAAACCTACCAGGTAACATTCATAGAAGAAAAAATACTTGGTGTGGCAGAGCCATCAGCCAAAAAAGTGTGACGCCTTCTCATTTCTCCATATTTTGGATGATTGAGATCTCTAAATCTGCAAAGTCATCCTTGTGACCCTGATATCAAAATCCTAAAAAACTTGGATTTGGAGGCAAAAATATGCTCTATCTTGAATGCCATCTCAACATGCGATCTGTACTTTCTATTTCAATCATTCAATGGATCCTAGATAATTTAGATTTGCAACTGTTTTAGGAACTTCAAACCCTTTTCTCTAGGGTTGAAATGGATTTGCAGGGGTTTAGAATGGTTTTGGGGTCTCCAATACATCAAAAAAATGGATTTTGAAGGGGGGCCAAAAGGTGTTCACATGTGGCGAGGCTTAAGGGGGACACACTAATGCTACCCTCCTTAGAAATGGGAGGATAAAAATGAAGGGACTTTATATCTTGTCTTTTGTTGAGTCAACTGGACATTTCAATTGTTTTATTTGATTCCTGATCGTGGATTCAAGCATTCTTATTCTTGCTTAAAGTTCTGTTTAACTTGTTGATTTCATGGAATTGTAACATATGTTACTAAACTTAGAGTTACTAATCTTCTTTAAATTGATTTAGGACTCAATTTGAACATGCCATTGATTTATTAGATGTTCTAGCTGCACTTAGGACCTTAATGGCACAATCGAAAATTATCGGTTGTCAATATCCGGCAAATACAACTGCGTTTTAGAGAGAAACAAAAAATTGAGAAGAAATCAACAAGCGGAAAGTACAAACGTGGGAGTCCGAGTCCTCCACCATGCACCACTGGAGCACAAAAATGAAAAGCCCACAAAAGGGCTCTCTCACTCTCTCTACAAAAATCTTTTCTTATTCAACCAAAATCCATCCCCAACACATTGTACATGCTTCCTTTTTTATACACTTACAACTTGCTTTTGAGAACTCCCTACAAAAAAGGAAGTCCACCACTTCAACATTAATCCTAATAGGTGGTTTCCATCTCATGTGACCCATGTCCTTATCCAAAAGATAAGGAAAGAACTTATTTAGAAAAACAAAATACCATCTCAACCAATACTTGCTAAAAAGGAAATGGATATGCTTCATCTTCTTAAAACAACTCAACAAAAACGGACACAAAAAAAAAAAGGACGTATCAAACTACCCCAAAGAATCTTAGACTAATCATATTTCTAACAATTAAGCCCAATAAAAATAAAAAATAAAAGATACCATAAAAAAAAAAAGTTTTTCCAAAAAAATAAAATATAACCCAAACTCCTAAAATAAATACAATTCCTAAAAACTAACTAAAAAATCTACCCACATCTCGAAAAATAAAATCAACAAAAATAAAATTAAAATTTTTTAGCAACTAGATCTTGATTTGTGTCACTTAGGTATTTTGCATTTTGTTAGTGTTCATAATGAAGTACACCTTTTATGAGATACATGGAAATATTTATGCTATAAAATGCATATGTGACCTGAGAACAATTATATAAAAGCTTGTACTGTTATCGTTGGTTTAGTTATCATGTATTAGAATCAATTGAGTTGGGTTGTTGTGACAGTTTTAATTAACCCCTGTTGGGATGAATTGCATTGCAGCTTGTAATGTGTAACCTGCATTTCATGTTTTTATTATTGGGTGCTCATTGTTTTGCTTAAGAGGTGGTTAGCACATTGCATTTTATGAATAAACATATTCGTTTTCTATTTGATACTTTATTCCTTAATTCAATGTCCGTATAGTCTTGAGTCTCGACGACAAATCATTCCAGGCATCTTATAAACCTTAGTTAAAGCAAGCATTAACTTGTATTTCACCAACTTTTAAGATCAGCTACGTGTCTGTGATATAGGGTGTGGTTTGTAAAAGATGTCAACCTTAAACAATGCTGCTTGTTTAATTAGCCTCTTTTGGGATGAATTGCAATGCAGCTTGTAATGCAACGTAACTTGCACTTCATGTTTTTATGATTGGGTGCTCACCGCTTTGCTTAAGAGGTGGTAGCATTAACTTGTACTTCACCAACTTTAAGATCAGTTACGTGTGTGTATGTGTTATATAGGGTGTGGTTTGAAAAAGATGTCAACCTTAAACAATCCAAAAAAGGAAGGCGCACCTCCAAAGCTCGTTGAAAGATGTATTTGTGGTGTTGGAATTTCAATGATGAACTAAAGATCTACCTCACATCTAATTATGAAATTTAAAACTCAAGAAATGGTATGGATCAAGCATATCTACAAACAAATGAAAATTTTGAGATTGGACTGTCTAGATATGTATTACAAGATGTACCATTTTTGGTACTTTAAAGTCTCTCTCTCTCTCTCTTTCCCCCACATCCGTACATCTTATGGTCTAAATAATCGATTATAGGGTTCTTTAACATCGGAACAACCGTTTTGGATGGATTTTGAGGTGTGGCTTGTTTTATGTAGTACAAGGTTGTAACCTTATATATATATATATATATATATAGTATCCAGTTGGCAATAAGATGAGAAAAAGTAGACTTAGTTGGGCTATCTATGTGCAGTGCAGACCCGGTACAAAACCTGTTAGGATATGCGAGTTGATTCAAGTGGAAGGCTAAAAAAGGTAAGGGGTAGGCCCAAAATGACATAGTTAGAAGTAGTTAGAAAAGATATGGGGGCTTATGGCCTCACTAAGGGTGTGGCCCTTGATAGAGTAGAATGATGGATTGGGATTTGTATAGGTGACCCCATACAATTGGGAAAAAGCTATGATAATGATATATATATATATATATATATATATATATATATATATATATATATATATA